TGGAGTCTTGCTCTGTCACCCAGGCTGGAGTGCAGTGGCATGATCTTGGCTCACTGCAGCCTCCACCTCCTGGGTTCAAGTGAGTCGCATGTCTCAGACTCCTGAGTAGCTGGGACTACAGGTGCCCACCACCATGCCCAGCTAATTTTTGTATTTTTAGTAGAGACGGGGTTTCACCATGTTGGCCAGGCTGGTCTTGAACTCCTGAGCTCAAGCAATCCTTCCACCTTGGCTTCTCAAAGTGCTGGGACTACAACGCGCACCATCATATCCAGCTAACTGTTTTCTTATTTTTTTGTAGAAATGGGGGTCTCACTATGTTGCTCAGGCTAATTTTGAACTCCTGGGCTCAAGGGATTCTCTCACCTCGGCCCCCCAAAGTGCTGGGATTATAGGTGTGAGCCACGGTGCCTGGCCAGGATTTTTGCAGGAATCGTGTTCAAGCTGTATATCAATTTGGGGAGAATTGACATCTTTACTATGTTGAGTCTTCCATTTTGTGAACACCTGGATGTTATCTACATTTATGTAGATCTTCATTGATTTCTTTCATTGACACTATATAATTTTTAGCATATAAATCCTGTGCATATTTTGTTAGATTTATACTTAAGCATTTCTCTTTTTTTGACTGATTGTAAATGGTATTGGATTTTTAGTGTTTACATGGTCATTGCCAGTATATAAAAATACAATCGACTTGGTTTACCAAGATAATTGGCTTGTCTTGTATTCTATGACCTTGCTTAATTTATTTATTATTTCTAGGTTTTTTTCTCCTTGATTCCTTGGAATTTTCTATGTAGACAATCATGTCATCTGTGAATAGGGACAGTTTTATTCATCCTTTCCAGTAAGTATACCTTTTATTTCCTTTTCTTGCCTTATTGCACTGATTAGAACTTCCAGCACTATGTTGGATAAGAGTGGTGAGGGCAGACATCCTTGTTCTGTTCTTGATCGTAGGAGGAAAGAATTTCATCTTTCACTGATAAGTATGATGTTAGCTGGGATTACAGGTGCCTGCCACTGTAACATTTTTGTAGATGTTATTTATCTAGTTGAGGTCTTTCCTCTCTATTCCTATTTTTATGAGAGTTTTTGACATGAATGGGTATTGAATGTTGTCAATGTTTTTCTGTATTGATATGCTAATATGATTTTTCTTCTATAACCTATTAAAATAATAGATTACAGTGATTGATTTTTTTTTTTTTGGGACAGAGTTTCACTCTTGTTGCCCAGGGTGGAGTGCAATGGTGCAACTCTGCTCACCACAACCTCTGCCTCCCGGTTTCAAGCGATTCTCCTGCCTCAGCCTCCCGAATAGCAGAGATTACAGGCATGTACCACCATGCCCAGCTAATTTTGTATTTTTAGTAGAGACTGACCAACATGGTTTCTCCATGTTGGTCAGGCTGGTCTCGAACTCCCGACTTCAGGTGATCTGCCCACCTCAGCCTCCCAAAGTGCTGGGATTGCAGGCGTGAGCCACCACGCCTAGTGATTGATTTTTAAGTATTGAGCTAGTCTTGCATTTCTGAAATTAACCCCATTTGGTCATAGTTTTTCATTATTTTTATATGTTGAGGAATTCTTTTGCTAATTTAAAAAAGGATTTAAAAATCTACATTCATGAGAGGTATTGGTCTGCAGATTTCTTTTTTTGGTACTGTTTTGTTTAGTTTTAGTATCAGGTTAAGTACTAACTTTACAAGAAGAGAAGGGAAGTGTTCTCTCTTCTATTTTTTGGAAAGAGATGTGTAAAATCAGTAATAATTCTTCTTTAAACGTTTGGTAGCATTCTCCAGTGAAACCATCAGGGCCAAGAGATCACTTTCTTGGGAGTTTTAAAATTAAAAAATAATTTTTCTTAATAGGACTAATCAAATTATGTATTCCATATTGAGTGAATTTTGGTATCTTGTATTTTTTGAGGAACTGGTCCATTTCTTCTGAGTAGTCAGATTTATGTGTATAGAGTTATTTGTAGCATTCCATTTTTATTGTTTGGTGTTTGGAGGATCTATTGTGATATTCCCTGCTTTACTGGTAATTTGTGTTTTCTCTTTTGTTCTTTGTCAGTCTTGCTAGAGATTTGTCAATTTTATCGATCTTTTCAAAGAACTAGCATACTGTCTTATTGATTTTCCCCATTGATTTTCTGTTTGAAATTTCATTAATTTATGCTATTTATAATATCCTTCCTTCTGCTTGCTTTTGGTTTAGTTCTTCTTTTGCTAGGTTCTTGAGGTGAGAGCTTGGGTAATTGATTTCAGACTTTTTCTCTTTTTATAATGTGTGAACTTAGCTTCCTTCTCAGTACCACTTTAACTGGTTCTTTCTGAGATGGGTGAGTCTTGCTCTGTCACCCAGGCTGGAATGCAGTGGCGTCATCTCGGCTCACTGCAACCTCCGCCTCCCAGGTTCAAGCACTTCTCTGCCTCAGCCTCCTGAGTAGCTGAAATTACAGGCACTCACCACCAAGCACGACTAATTTGTTGTATTTTTCGTAGAGATGGGGTTTCACTATCTTGGCCAGGCTGGTCTTGAACTCCTGACCTTGTGACCCACCTGCCTTGGGCTCCCAAAGTGTTGGGATTACAGGCATTAGCCACAGCACCTGGCCGATATATTTAGTTTTTATTATCCTTCAGTTCAATGTTCTTTTTGGTTTTCCTTGAGACTTTTTGGCCCATGGATTATTTACAAGTGAGTTGTTATCTTCCAAGTGTTTGTAGGTTTTCCTGTTGTCTATTAATAATTTCTACTTTGATTCTGATATGGTTTGGGTCTGCATCCCTGCCCAAATCTCATGTTGAATTGTAATCTCCTATGTTGGAGACGGACCTGTGGGAGGTGATTGGATCATGGGGACAGATTTCTCATGAGTGGTTTAATACCATCCCCTTGGTACTATTCTGGAGATTGTGAGTTCTTGCGAGATCTAGTTGTTCAAAATTGTGTGACACCTCTCCCCATCTCTCTCTTCCTCCTGCTTCCTCCATGATTGGAAGTGTCCTGAGGTCTCCCCAAAAAGCAGAATCTGTTATGTTTCCTGTACAGCCAGCAGAACCATGAGCCAATTAAACCTCTTTTCTCTTTTGTTTATAGATTACCCAGTCTCAGGTCTTTCTTTCTCTTTCTTTCTTTCCTTCTTTCTTTCTTTCTCTTTCCTTCTTTCTTTCTTTCCCTTTCTTTCTTTCTTTCTTTCTTTCTTTCTTTCTTTCTTTCTTTCTTTCTTTCTTTCTTTCTTTCTTTCTTCTTTCTTTCTTTCTTCTCTTTCTTTCTTTCTTT